TTCAACCTTCTACAACTTTTTCAAGAAATCTCGTTGAAAGCGTTCGAATTTGTCGAATGAAAGCCTGACTTATCCTTAATGTCTCCTAAAAAATCCAATATATGATTACCATGAAAATTTTGAGCTACTAAAATTGAAAGTAGACTACTACCGGTTATACTCATCCGCTAGAGTTTCGCAGTTCACAAAACAACTATTTTTTCATCTCTCATCATCTCACCAAATCTTAAAGATAATGCAATTTCAGACATCAAATTCCAAATCTATACCAAAAATTACCCAAAAATAGGCATGCAAAAACCCCATAAAGAAGAGAGAAAGAAGATTTCTAAAAATAGCCCGGACTAAATGCATTTGCATAAAATGTTTTACTGGAGTGAGTCCTATATATCATATGTGATAAAAAAAAAATGGATTCTTGTAAAGGAAGATTGATTCTCTTAAAATGGGTTGACCTTAATGTGTTTCTTCCTCTGTCATTTTTTTGTGAAGATAACTGATTGAAATATTTGTGTGTATAAAGCTATCGTTGATCTAGTAAATCTCATCACAGAATGACAAGTAAAAGACCTGATACCAGCCCCTATATCAGACAAAGGAGAATAGGACTACACAATTCAAAGATTGCAGACTGTTCACGTTCATTATGTCACGATAAAGATGATGAATTTGCTTTATCTTCTATATACAATGATGAAACAAATCATTATATCAGTTCTGATTAACCTAGGCACAGATCATTCTGCTTCTTCTGATAGCCAGAGAGACAAAGTACAGGTACAGGTTACAGCATCGGGAATAAGATCACAGATCATGAATCGAGGACAGAAGTCTCTAAATCCCAATATTCACAGTGTAGAATGCGTGATCCTGATACAAGTTGATACATAATTGACTTAGTGCCACCCAAGAACAAAGTACATGTACCACTTTTAGTTATGTTAAGCTTAAATTTGAGCAACAGACCAATGTAGTCGAGATAGTAAGAATATGAACCTAACGGACAATTATACACCTATACTCCTTGTATGCTCAAGATAAGACCGCTAAAACAATTCAATCTATTGAATCCTGGACAGATGCTTTTCTTATTTGGGCCAGTGTATTCATTCAGACACAGAACAGTTTCAGCTCCGCGGAGGCCTGACCTATTGGGGGCTAAAGTGGATTAAGAATAAATAAGCTTTTCAATATTTCTTGGTAAGCCTGAAGGAGATCTGAGTCAAATTCGAAATTGGTAACAAACGGTTTCAGAGTTATTGCCATTGTGTGTACGTCGATGAGACTTGTTCATGTTTGAATTTGATGATAATTTGATCTACTGTTTTATAAGATTTTGTTATCATAAGATTATGTTGCCTTGAATGGCAAGCTAGCTTTGGTTCATTCATTCATCAGTTTAGCCCTTTTGTTCATGTTCTTCCTTCTCATTCTTTGTTCCTACTTTCCATTATTTCTTTTTTGGGAGAGTTTAAGCAATACGAGAAAATCATCTTCTTTCTATTGATGATATAAGTATTAATAGTCTTAGTCAATAACTGAATACATAATAACTGAATCGTATAAACGATTTGTTTCCTTTTAACATAGAATTTGGATCAACGATGAATGATTTAAAGCAAACATATCATTTTAAAATATAAAAGTATGCGAGTGACAAATATCAAGCAGGATTATAAAAGGATGAGTATCGAGTTAGTACTGTGGTATTCTCGATAGTCCAATTTTCATCTTTCTACCGAGAATAGATCCAAGTGCTTTAGTCTCATTGGAAGTAAGATTTCAGTGAACAATCCACAGAACCACGGCTCACCCCGACATAGACCTACTTTCTTTTCTATTTATAGTATTTATATGGGGTGGTGTAATATCTATAGTCAAGGGAGATAACTACTATAATATCTATAATTAGTCAAACTATAATCAATGTATTTATTTATTTCAAGTTAAAAACATCAGAAATCATTGTAATAAATTGTTATATAATGTTATAATAATGATATATTTTATATAAAAATCTAAAAAATGGTAAAATATGAATTACAAAATACTAAGAAATCTTCGAGGTTTGAACCCCCAGTTAATGATATACATTGTATATTTTTTTCGCCACTTTTTTGTGCACTTACAGTAATTGGTGTTGCTGAATTTTCTCCTCGGTCTGTGCTTTCGTAAATACAATTATATATTGTTTTTACAATCACTTTCAACTTAGTTAATTAAAATTTTACTGGCTGTGTTTGATTAGTATATTACAGCTGATTGACTTGTTTTATATTTCCAGAAAAAAACCAATAGTATAAAATAGAAGAACATATTGAAAGTTTTAAAATGTTGAGATTGAGAATTGAGAAATTTAGCATTTGCCCAGTCTATCGTAAAGAATCTGTTTCTAAAAATGGTTCAATTCTAAATTAGTTCGACTTCATAAAACTATTCGTCTTATTATTTTAACATAACTCAAATTTTACTTAAGTACATAATTCAGACTATTTTTATTTGATGAAGGGAAAGAGTGTGTTAGAAAATATAAGTAAATTGAAATACGAGATTTTAAAAGTGAAAAATATCAATCAGGATTATAAAAGGATGAGTATCGAGTTAGTACTGTGGTATTCTCGATAGTCCAATTTTCATCTTTCTACCGAGAATAGATCCAAGTGCTTTAGTCTCATTGGAAGTAAGATTTCAGTGAACAATCCACAGAACCACGGCTCACCCCGACATAAATCTACTTTCCTTTCTATTTATAGTATTTATATGGGATTCTGCAATAGCTACATTCTTTTCTACTGCTAAGGGAGATAACTACTTTTATATCAGACCACTTAATTTTTTTTTCATGTTCTGTTGAGCCAGCTGAAATGAAATGAATGGGGTTTTACGTCATACTTTTCTGCACCATGCGGGCTAATGAAGACGGGCAACGCCGATGCAGGGTGATGGAGGAAATTTTGCCAGGACAGCGGCATTAGTCTACACTTTTTCGATTCCCAACTGTCTGTAGCACAGCCTGTAGCACAGAGAGCCTCGGTTTATTGTCCCATCCTTTTTCAAAGTCAGTCTCTCTTGCTGAAATTTGAGCTCGACATTAACTAATGTTGATTTGTATTTTAATGTATTTTTATTTTTTTATTTAATTTATCATTGACACTATATCAATCCATTCAAGAGAGCGTCAGGTTCGCCATTTTCAGGGGTTTATTTGAATATATGTAAATAGTCTTTATAGAAACTGAAAATGTACAACAATCGCATAATTCCTTCGAACATACCTCAAACTAGAAATTTCACTTTCTATATTATGTCTTTTCTATATATGGTAGAGTCTCAATAAAAGACACTCGTTATTTTAACTTTTAAACACGAATAATTGTGGACATACATGGATTTGAAGGCTCAAATTTCGACTATGAACACTATTATATAGGTGATCAAACGGATGACGAATCTGTCCCTTAAAACCAGTAAGATCAGTCAACGAATTATTTTTCGACCAAGGACTTGGTTCTCGACATTTTAGTTTCATTAAAAGAAAGCATTGTTCGAAAGTGATTTCGTGTTTCGTTAAGTTCACTAATAATTTGCAGCTGTGTACCACGATTGTTAATGTTCCACATCGAAGACATAAGAAGTACAATGATTCCTCTATTTACAATATATTTCAATTGATTTACCAAGACATTTTAGGAATATATTTTATTTTGAGACACATAAATAGATAATATATAAATCAACATTGCATAATAAATATCATAATAAATAATAAATAATTAAATATAACAAATTTCATACAATATAACAATAATACATTTAAAACTATTTTCAATTAAGAAAGATTTAAAATGGCAATTGATTTTATTTTATAATAAAACATTCAATTGATATCTTTAATCTTTAAACCACGTACATGAACAATAAAATATATTTAAAACTGTGCATATAATTATAAATGGATGGAATTAAAAATCACCTCGAATATCATTAATATTAATATCTACAAATTAAAACTCACATTAAGTGAATAATATCGTTTTCTGATGCAAATTACTGTAACAGTATTTGACAATTATTCACAGCAATTTAAAACAGAATACAATCTTCACAGTATAATCAAGCATAATGTATTATTCATAGTATTTTCAAGCATAATGTATTATTCACAATCACAGTATATTCAAGCATAGTGTATTATTCATAGCATTTTCAAGCATAATGTATTATTCACAGTATTTAAGCATAACGTGTTCTTCAATATTTTCAAGCTTAATCTATTTTTCAATATTTTCAAGCATAATGTATTCTTCACAGTATTTGTAAGCATAATGTATTCAATATGTTTAAGCATAACGTATTTTTCACAGTATTTCAAGCATAATAATGCATCCTCACAGTTGATTCACAATGTGGATAATGAAACGTCTGTAACATGGGTGGAATTTCAAATTATAATTTATCTATCTTAACTATTATGAACAAATCAAAATACACTTTCAATAAATAAAAATATTAATTTAATTTCACTCAACACAGTTAAAATATATATTCCTCTAACATAACAATTAACAGATTTTCAAATCGTCTTGTAACGTTTTTGTTGTAATAATAATTTTCTGGTGATGAAATTCCGTCAAAAGTAATAACAATTAATTTTATAAATTTTGAAAGTTTCAATACTCATAAACGGATCTTCGATAGATAAAGTAAAAGTTGTTCGTAGTTGAAAAAATATTGGAAAACCAATCTTAACATATAACAATAGGCCCTAACATACTGTTTTTTTTTTAAACTTTTAATAGGTATTCGAAGCAATACGAATGTAAGTAACAAACGGAGTAGTCCGTAATTCAAAAAATGAACACTTAGTTTGAACACATGGGCTAATCTAAACACTTTTTAAGTGTAAGTGTACTTTGAACATAGGATCTAGCACCTCCAGCACAGGTCAACACAAAAGTGGGGTGTATTTTAGTGTCCAGAGACAATTCTGGACATTAACATTATGACCTAATATGTTGCACAATCTCCGAGTCATTGGAAGTATTATCGTTCTCGTTGACTGGAAATGGTAAGGAATGTTCAGACGCTGATGATGATAATGGTGAAATGAGAGTTGGGACTGGTGATGGATATGATATAATACTATGTGATGAATCGAGATCTAAATGAGACGGTACAAGTAATACATCAGAAGCATGTGATGTTGCTGGTGATGTGTGTTCTGATGCTTTTGATGATGAAGATAAATGAAGTGATGCTTGTGACTTGATAAACGAAGTTCCAGATTTTTCCAGATCGACTGAGTCATCGTCATCTTCGAGCAGTTTCTGCCTCTTGGCTGCTGGACAATCCTCATCTGGTACAGAAAAGGGTCGAGATTTAGCCTGATGAACTTTATTGTCTATCACAGTCGTTTCAGCAAAGGGTAAAGATTCAATCGAATGTTGTGTGGTAGCTGGTGCGCTAGGATTTTCAATATCTGTAATAGTTCCGGATACCATAGTTAACGATTCTTTCTTAACCCCTATTTGTTGAAGTGATGGTCCCATCTGTTGCTGGTCGGATTTAGGGATATCTGTTGTTATCTGGGGAGAAGTAATCCTCTCTTTAGGTGACATGGACGGATCATAATAATCACCTTTTAACCACACATGTCGACCACCACTGATGTAATGGCGGAAGTGACGTATTACTCGACTACCAATCGAATCGTAAGTTTCACCCATTACCTGAAATGTATTGTAGTAAATAATTACTAGAGTGTCCAGACAAAACGTAAATGTTGTTTATGAAATTTTTTAAAGATTAAAAAAATTAAACAGGAAGAATTAAAAATATTTTAAGACAGTCAGACGTTCCAACGTCTGAATTAACCTTGTTCATTTATAATAATGTTAATTGAAAAAGTCATCTGAAAGTGATGGAAGTATCGTGTTCTTGCGTTTCTTACCTCAATTTCAAGTTCCTCGTTACCAATAAGTAAATGTGCTCTGTAGAGATTTTTGGTTCTGGAAGCATGCACACCTCGACTTTGTATTGGTCCAATTAATTCTAGATCTAATCTATCTAATACTTCTTGTCTGACAGTCACCACATCACTTCCGGAATCGACCATAAACTCTGAAAATGCATATTACATTCCAATATAGCTTTTGTTATACACTGACGACAAGTCTTTCGATTCATTTGCTTACAGGCGGGGAGGGGAGTTCTGTTCAGATGATGACGTGAAATCAAAATGATTTCGAACCTTACAAGGATTAAGTCTAAATGTTCTCCTGATTAGGGTAGAGATATCATAATCCGCTTTTTGTGTTTCTTTTTTTTTAATTACGTGAGAGCTCTAAAATGACTGCGTTGATGAAGATTATAACATTGGAAAATTTTATTGCGAAATTTCTCAGAGATGTGTGTTTATCAAATAAAAGTTTTTATATTTGCATCAACGCAACGTCATTCTTACACTTTATGTAGCTGATATTCCAAGAAATATACAAAAACCAAAAACATTCGTAACATAAGTAAAATAACATAAGTACTTTTCTCGCATTAGAAAATAAACAACATAAGTTTACATAACCATGACAATATTACAACAGCCGGCGGAACTGTATCAAAAAATCCATAAAGACAATAGAAAAAAAAATTCTTCACATATAAAGTAGGCCTTCCATACGGTGTTAACAAAACACTGTAAAGCTTTATTGATTATTGGTACGGTTTTTTGTTTCTGAAGACAATTGTTTCATGCTATACATAATTTATCGTTGTCACTACTACGTTTATATTTAAAAATAACTTAGAGTTTTGAGATGACATTACTGACCGAAATCATGAAATAAGAATAGACTTTGAGTACAAAGAGTCTTGCTAGGTAGTACCTTTACTAACTTTTTTATTATGTATACCAAAGGTCACAAATGGTACCCCAATATATTATAATGTCCATCAAGGCAGGAGTTTTTTAAGTTAGCTGACACTTGATCAAATTGTAACAGACAATTTAGTGGCACTTGATTTATTTGTACCAATTGAGATGATGAAAATTAATCGGTTTATAACAGATTATCTCGCGATAATCCGATTGTATTACGATAAGACGATTTGTAACAAGTCCATTATAGGGACACTAAACAATGCACACTACAGGCAATTAACTATGTATTGGATTGTCACAGTTTGACATGTGTATCAACATCTTATCAGAGTAAATATAACAATCGCGTGTATCCATGGAAATTACGACGCTTTGGGAGAAAGGTTAGATCCTATTCAATGCCTAATTAATATCTTAGAAGTGTAAACAAATAATAATTGCTCTTTGTTCGTGTTGAATAGAATCGATTAAGAAACTGTTATAATGTGAAATACATAGTATTGTTTACTTAGGAACTGGATATTATCAAGGTTTCACATTTGATGGCCTTATTTCACAGTTTCATCTGTAATAACCCATTCAGGAAACATATCCCACCGTGATTAGCACCCCAACCTTACTCTCCATGGAGAATATTGCGGTGTCTTTATGAAATTAACACACGTTTATTATACTACTATTGGATCTTGGTGGGAATACATGCAGTTCTTAATATATTTAGCCTTTTCTCTTCTGCATATGGAAAAAAAGTTCTGAATCGAGCCAATTTTTCATGTTTAGGCTATAAGTTTTGAAATGAATTGAATGGTTCCAATACTCAAGAAACTAACATTTTAAAATGTTTTTGTGTTTATCGTAAATTTATATTTGAGTTCATTAACGACATGTTCATATTTACCAAAATCTTTAGAATAAGAGTCTGTTATTGCATTTTAAGAGTTGCAGTAGCCTACAAACGGCATCTCGAAGAAATTTTATGATGTTTATGTTTATAATACATCAAACAAATGATTGTTATACTTATCTTATTTAAGTACTAATTCTATTCTATAACAATAATGTTCTAACGAGGTGATAATAGTATTAATAAAAATTAACTTTTGAACTTCACGAGATGGTTTATCAGCGACTTTATGGTTAATTTGTGGTGCCTTTTGGAAAACACCCTCCGTGGAGAAGTCCTTGCATTGGATTATCGCATTATTGTGATAATATTAAGGTATTTCTGGTGTTCGATGGATTCGGGTTTCAGCACCATAATTTCTTCTACCAACGACCCACATTCCATCCATTTATGTGTCTCAAATAAATGTTTTTTTAACATAGTGTATCTTAAAGTTTTAAACATATTAAATGATCGGTTAAGTATCCATTCTGATTGAAATATATGGAATCTATGCCGCTTTGAAGTCGATTTTGTATCGATATGCTAATTACATTTCAGTTACTTCATTATCGTTTTAATTAGCTATATTAACCCTTTCCTTCCCGAGAGTAAGGTACCTTTAGATTCTTTATCTATAACATAATTAGTTTCTCAAATAACATTGAACCAGTTGAAAAATGAATTATCAATAAATTAACCCATTATTGTCCCAATAATGTCTCAATCTAATTAACCCTTTTATGTGCAAGTCATATTATCACAAGATTAATGGGATTTCTTATCATAAAATAAGGAATTTACCTGGCTAATTTAAACCAATCAATATTCTTACATGTCTCTTTTTATAATACAGTGATATATTGATGAGTAATATACAATAATGTTATTCCCATAGATTCTTTTTAAGGCAATGACGTAAACAAAATGAGTGATGAATAGAAAGTCGCGTATCAACAGGTATGATTGCTGTTATGAAAATAATTGTTAGCCTTAAAACTAAGATTGCTGTAGGACAACAAACAAGCAAAAACATGCTACTTACGAAGTCTTTCACTGCCAAAAGCATTTTCTTTAGAGGACGATAGGATAGCATCGACACACAGAAAATCGTATTTAGCTTCTTGTAGGAATTCTGGCTTTCCCCACCATCCTTCTGTAACGGGTGTCTCAAATTCTGGACTCATACCTCGTCTTTTCTTTCTCAATTTTCTGACTGTAAAAATATATACAAGTATCGAAATACAATACACAGCTTCTATATCTGCTTTCATATATTTCATATGTAGGCATTTTCGTGTTACTTAGAAAAATGAAAATGTATATAACATTTACATTAATCGTGATATATTCACATATTACCTATATCAGCATTTTAGTTTATATGCATAAGTGAAACAAAAAGAAAATACCGTATAAATTTTGAATACATAACTTGTTATACGAAAACCCTTTAAGCTCTAAGGAAACATGATTTGCTAACACCAATTTGTCATTTGAAATCAGCATTTTAATATTGTTTTCCTTTCAGTGCCTTAAGATAACTTATTTAACCAAGTTCATTGGACAATTCTATTATGCATACTGCATCACGTCCTTACATATAATCATACACGTTTGTAAACAGACATACAGCACTTGTGCTATCTATACACATATAATTATGCTGTATGTGTCAATGGTTTTTGTATGCATAGCAAAGACATATTTGTATTCACTTAAAGATTTTTCAATGGTTCAACTAACCTGCTGTTCTCAACCTTTTTTGATGACCGGGTAATAAAATTTCTAATTCATCATAAAGTTTCTCATCTGGTAGATGTAATTTAGCAATATCGTCAAGATTGACCAGTTCTCCATTGATAAAGTTAACAAAGTAATAATCTAAACCGTTTTCTTTCAACCATTCGTATAGTTTATATTCTGGTGTCAGGCCATGATTCAGAGCTGAAATTTAAACATATTCTTTTAAGTTAAGGCTAAACTCAAGCCACATTATGACAACAGTCGGGAAATGATTATATATATATATTATACAGTATACACATGGAATGTACCTTGAAATGTTTCAGTCCGCAAACAATTCATGCTGCGCGTATATGTTAATCAAATCGATTCGTGTTGTTGCAAATCATATTCAAATTAAAAGAACACAAAACATCCACTTAAAATGATCGTTTATCTAAATAGTGATGGTAAATAATGCACGACCTATAACGATATCGACTTACTATGGTATATCATATAGTAGGATATTGACAAGTCATACCTGTGTAAACAGACCAGTCAACTTGATAATACTGTAAGTCATGGTCGAATGATTTACCGTTAGACTGGTAGCCTATCTACCATGCAGTCAGCTTTAGTTTCGATATCCTACAAAGTTTGCCTCTTACCTTGACTTTTGATGACAGATCTGTGTCCTTTATTGATGATTCCCATCAGATTTAGATCCTGATCGTCCAATTCCAAGAGATCCGTTTCCATATCATATCCCTTATTGACAAATGTATCATAATACTGCGGCAGTCCTAGTTTCTGAAGAAAATGTGAAACACCCTCGATCATAGCTAGATAATTCTCATTCATTATAGATCTGATATCTTCAGATTTAAAGTCCAAAGCGTTCCAGATCGCCTTTAATTTTGAGGATAATTCCGAATTCTCTATTTATAGACATGTTCGGATATGTTCGAAACACAGGCATTATTATATAGCTAGGTCAAAATGCCGTTCATTGATTGGCTTAAAGTACCCAATATGCGTCCCTAGATACTTTGATTAACCAATCGAATCAATCTTCAACAACTTGTTCTGGCTTGTTGACTCGTTCATCAGGTATAACACCAATTTCAATAGAAACTGTGTGACTGGACAACCATGTTTGAGCCGGCAAGAAAAGTCCTGTCAAACTATTTTTAGTCCAGTCACGTGATTAGTAAGAATCTCCAATAAACAAGATGGCTGCACGAAACGAAGCTGGAGACGGTGTTACCAATGGAAATGGGGGTAAAGTTGCATTAATTACGGGAATTACTGGCCAGGTAACTGTTTGATCATTAATTAGCCCTTGATAAATAGCTTAGCAAGTTACTTAAACGGATTACACAATTGTAAAAAAGTTTGTTACACGATCATATCAAAGTTAGCCACGTGTGAATTCAGTAAATGAGTAATCAGTATCCATTTATCCAGTTAAAACGGTAACTAACAAACCAAACCCTCATACACGATTTTCGGGTTTTCTCTGCCATGTTCTGTGGGTAGCAAACTTCGACCTTGACCTTAGTAAAACACCATTGTAATACATTGTCAACAAGTCTTGTCTTCGTTTCGTCTGCTATTATTCATTTAATAATCTGTTAGTAATAAGTACAGTGGTACAGTTAAGTAACCTAATTTCGTGGTAACCTATTTTTCGTGGATTTCCGGAAAGGATGAATAATTTACATGTGCGACCTCACGTGACCTCCACATTTGCTTGTTTTGATAAACATGGGTTTTCTGTACAAAATCAGCCAGTAGAATGAATTCAGTAGTTTCAAGCAAAAAAATAAATACTGTTGTTCAATAATTTTATTGTTAGGCCTATTGTTTATATTCGGATAAAATTAAATAACTACACATGAAATTTTATTACAGCAGTATATTTCCATTTCCGTTGAACACTGTAACCCCCTCTTGCCCAACCACTTAAATTCTCCAGATTTACCCCTTTGCCATGCAAAATTTATGTGGTAAATAGCCGTGTGAATGGTCTAGAACTTTTTGCCATGCACGTGGTAAATAGCCACTGCCCTTGGCTTCTGGTTGCAAAGAATAGACAGAAGACGATAAAACTGGCAACATTTAGTGCTCGGTTGGTCATTAACGCCATTGTTCAGAAATTGGTTCTTACCCACCAATTTATTACGTAATGTACAAAATGACATGATGACATAATAGCACGAACTTCCCTATTTTCTAAAACGAGAGAATAGTGCCCTTTAGTGAGTACTACTTGATTGATTTATGCCAATGGAATCCTTCTCTTTTTAATGTATGTTGACACTATTTTCTCCACACTATTTTCTCCACATTGCCCATATTTTATTGATATTGACAGAACTTCAAGGGCCTGTGTCTCATCATACACATTCACGGCAAATCGAGCAGATATAAAATGTGAATTATTTTTAACTTAAATGTTGTTAATAATTCAAAATATTTTTCAAAAGGCCAGTTTATGACATTCAACTAATAATATCGGTTGCGGTTGATATAAGAGTTGTGAACCTTGGGAACTGTCAGGTTCCATGGTCGAGCAAGTTGTAAGTGATGCAGAGGAAAATCGAAATACACGTGCATCACATATCAGAGTTCTGCCTAAAAACCAACTGACGTCCACTGAGTATTCAGTTGTTGTGCTCATTGCACGTCAGACCATTGGTCACCATCTGCAACCCATCAGTGCTGAAACATTTGGAAATTCGCTTGCCTCCCAGACCTGTTTTGTCACCGTCCATAAGGGGGTCCGGTGCTTGCTCCCCATCATTGTCAGCAACGTCTTGCATTGGCCACAATCTAATCTAATCTATTCAGTATATCTACTGAAAGGCAAAAGAAACATCACTTGGATGTATATATTTCTTTATTTGCGAATGCTTATATAAGCTTATGCAAGTAAAGACATTGGAGAAAGTCGGTGTTAGACACTCATCAAAATTAACAGTACAGTACCGGTAACACATCTTCTGTACATGGGAGTGGACTAGCCGGTTGATGAAGGCCATTGGTATCTGGGCCTATATCCCCAGGAATGTTAAATGCAGTTCTACTGCTAGTGTTGGTATTTGGCACACTTCATTGAGTGCTGCTGGAGGAAGTCCCTGGTGACTCTGGAAGTGTGGGGTCAGGCGTTGTCCTGCTGTCAGGTGTGGTTTTGGTGACGGGCAAAAAATATATGGGATCTGAGTACTTGGTCTAGCTATGATTCCATTACCCCTGTCTGGACCAATATTCTGAAACACCACCGGCCCCACTCTCAGGTTCAGTCAAATTCCACCCCAAACCATGCTGTTTCGTCCGCCCCACGAGTCCTGTTCTATGACGTTTCTTGTGCCTTTCAGTATATATGACCCATATGAGCATATTTCTCAGTGTTTATGGACAATTTGCGAGGCCTAGCTTTCATTGGAACTTATTGAAATTCATACCATACTTTCTAACAGGGAAGAACATTTATAATAATACCATTTCAATTTAATCTTTATTACTCAAATTAATAATTGATGCAAATGGCGTATGCTCTCTTGTGACCATGACCAGTGCTTCTATAGGAGAGTATCTTCTACAACTCCCAACAATAGTCATCATTAGAAGTATCAAATCTCCAAATTGCTGTTTCCCTGACTTTTTGTACAGTGGTCCATTAAAGACATATACCAATCGACATATATATGACCTATATGAGTATATTACTCAAAAGTTTACAGGCAATTTGTGAGGCTTAAATTAGGAACCTATTGAAATTCATACCATACTATCTCACACGACTCGATCCCATTGAATCCAATAATACTTTACCCCCCTCTCTATTTTTTAGCTCATTAAGTATAATATATTCTAATCCTTATATATAGATGTTTATCTTTTCAGAACCTATTCATACTCTTTTCTTTTAGAACTGGTAACAAGAAAACTTTCATATTATAGATTTTTGTTTATTGTAGATTACTCGTGGTTGTTTTTTTAACTTAATACTAACTATGCTAACTTCACCTTATCTTGTATTGAACATTTATCTCTTTATTTGTGACCTTGGCCAGTGCTTTACATAGAAGTTTTTAGGAACTTCTTCACTCTTAACACTACTCTTCATTGGAAAAATCAAATCACGAAGTTGATGTCTCTCTTATTTTTTGTCGAAATAATTGACATAATATATATTACCTACATGAGCATATTACTAGTCCTCACTCCCTAAAAGGTTAGGGAGACAGCAGCTTTGATAATTGTAATTTGATATTTCAAATGAGTAAACTCTGAGTATCACGCTCATGCTCATGCTGATTGGTGTATATCTTTAATGGACCACGGTACAAAGAGTAAGTAAGACAACAACTTGCTAATTTCATATTTGGAATGAGGACTAGTGTGAGATGGTATGGTATGAATTTCAAAAGGTTCCTATTATGGCTAACTCACGCATATGCTCATATAGGTCATATTTTTTGAATCGAGCTCCTTACATAAAGTAGAAGAGACACCAACTTGGTGATTTTGTATGTCAAATGAGGACTAGTTTGAGATTAAATGGTATGAATTTCAAAAAGTTCCTATGACGGCCTTTTAAATACCTGTGTAACTTTGGTAAGGTCAACCTTCCATAAGAAAAAAGTAGGCTATGTCTAAATTTAATGTGCCACAGTACAAAGAATAAAAAGGGTAGATGGATAGTATTTGCAAAATTGAAAAAATACTTATGTGCATTTTTCATAAAAAAATTTAAATTATTTTAACAACATTTAAGTTAAAAATAATTCACTTTTTATATCAGGTCAATTTGACGCAAATGTGTTTGCTGAGACGATTCAACCCAATTCTGTATGCTAGTGTATGTGTATGCTAGGTTCAGTTGGGTATACCAACCTTGTGATACCTTACTATTCATTTGTCTGGCATTTGACATAAAATCTTAAATGAAGATTACACAAGTCTAGTTTTTCATTTCCTTTTCCTTTTCATGTTTTGTATACGCCCACATGAATATGTGGTCGTATATTGTCATTGCCCCTGTCCGTCAGTCAACATTTCTTGAGGGCACAATAGAGACTACAGTTTTCATTTGATTGTAAAAAAAACTTGGTGCAGGCTTTGGGATTTACAAGATGGCTGTCAAGTTTGAATTTGACAATTTTTCGATGAAGGGTTTTTAAGTAATTGCCCTTGACTTAGTAGAATCGCGTCAAAATTTTGTTGTGGGAAACAATAGAAGCTACAATTTTCAATGGATTTTGATGGAACTTGGTGTAAGCATTGGGATTGATAAGACGGCAGTCAAGTTCGAATTTGATTTTTCAATAAACAGTTTTTGAGTTATTGCCCTTTACTAAGGAAAATTGTGTCAAAATTTGATTGTGGGCACAATAGAAGCTAGAATTTTCAATGGATTTTGAAAACTGGCTACAGTTTTTATCGGATCTTGATGGAACTTGTTATGCAGCTATATATTTATGAGAGTAAAGTTCAAATCTGTCTATGTTAGTTAGTTAGTGTGAATTTGATGAAACGTTATTATATATCTTTGAAAATTTCAGACACGAGAGGAGTGTGATAATTCAATGCTTTTGGGTTATTGCTATTGATTTTAAGAAGATTTGTGGAAAAACTCATCATAACTGACCCTAAATTCATGAGATATTCAGGGCTTTTGAACTACAAATGCATAACGAAGATCTTCAATATGAGATATTTGGTATTATTATGAAGATCTTTGATATATTTTTGGTCAAAAAAGATTTAGTTATCATCACTGACAGCGGTCAGTGGGCGTATGTTACCTTGCCCGGCAAGCTATCTTAATTGTTTATATATAATGTAATTTGTGTTGATAAATATACAGTGTTCGCACAGCCTTGAAAAACCCTTGAATTCCGGCTGTTTCCTTGAAAAACTTTGATTTCAAAAAAAGTCTTTGAAAACACCATAAAAAAACTCATTTTCTCTTGAAAAATCCTTGAATTTAGAGTTGAGTCAAATTGTGTATATTTTTATCATTAACCCCATTGACAAATATTAACTATCTTTATTGATTTCACGGTTCAGAAGTTAGGTACATGTGTATTCTGTCAGACTAATATCCTTGAAAAGTCCTTGAATTTCAAAGCCCAGAGTCCTTATAAAAGTCTTTGAATTTTTGAGGCAAAGTGCTGTATGAACCCTGATATAACTGAAAGTGAAAGTCTATATATTCTATAGATTGTATAATAATGATACTCATATTAAACTTTTGAAAGCTGCTTTATGGATTGATGTGTCAATGTAATGTAGGTTTAAAAAATATTAGTAATTTCAATACAACAGCTGTGAGTTATACCCACTTCGCTTGGTTAATATTTCTCATAATTTCACATTATCAATGACAGAGATAACTTATATTTAATTAATAAATCATTTTAGTTTTCATTATTTTCCAATAAATTCTATGATTTTGTTTTGATTAGAGAGTAATGAATGAGAAATAGTAGAATGTCTAGTATGAAATATCAAAAAAGGCCTGTGTAAATGTTGAAAAGCAAATTAGTTATAAGGTCAAGCTGGCAGTAACAGTATTAAATGTATGTATAATATATAAATGGTATATGCACCATATTCTGCAGTTCTATATTGGTACAGTATACAGTTCACAAGCAGTGAAGTAAGTTTCAAAGAGTTTAAGAAGTAAAACCTGAAAATAAACATCTAAACAATATCATGATTGTTAATGGTCATGAACTACAATAATCTGATTCAATGCATATTGTCATAGCCACTAACCGAACCATCTACTTTTGCCTGTCTTCTGACTCTCTACTTTATCTTTTCTGGGTGTTCTTTTGTCAGGCACAATTTCAAATACATGAATATAATAGGCCTTTACCCACGATCTTTCATGAACCAGAAATTCACTTGTATTTTTATTTTTACCCTTTTACTATTATCCTAACTGTATTTAAATTGTGGTTTATGCCTTGCAGAACTCAGATCATTTGAAACTTATGTTAACACTGAACAGGCCATGTTATAAATGTTTGACTTTAATTTAATTACATACTGGTTATATATTAGCATGTATCCATTATTTAATGTTATGTAAAAGGGTAAATAATAAAACCAGCAAAGAAACCTCTCAGTTATTCTGCAAATCTTCAATAATTAATATTAACACACTGATATCACACACAATGATAAATATATGATACAAATTATAAATCTTTCTAACACTTGTCCCACATCAAAACAAAGCGACCCCAAAGGGATTTTTGTGAATTTCTTAAATGAAGTGCATGGAGAATTTGAAATGCTGACCATCCCTGTTCTATTATCATTCTTTGTCAAGAACTACAAAATGCAGTTTTACTGATTTACTGATGGTTTGGAAGCATGTGATAACTCCTAAAAATAACATAATTTATCTTACACTATGAACTGGACTAGGCTTAGTCTATTAAGATTTGAGACCATATTGGTTTGTTACTGTTCTGTGACTGTGACTGGTATTCTTGAATGGAGAGTCG